TTGACCTATGTAAAGGAGCGGATTTTGGGGAAACTCCAACGATGGAAACAAGCTACCCTATCACAGGCAGGTCGTGAGGTTATGATCAAGGTGGTGGTTCAAGCAATTTCGGCTTATCCGATGAATCTTTTCAAATTTTCAGATATCATTTACAAGGAAATAAACACTCTGATTACCAATTTTTGGTGGGGACATAACATGGAGAAGAAACACGTTCATTGGGTCTTTAAGGCTACTCTAGGGCTGCTGACAATGAAAGGGGGGCTTGGGTTTCGGAACTTTATGGATTTTAATGATGCTTTCCTAGCGAAACTATGTTGGAGGCTCATCCACGAGCCGGATTCACTGTGGGCAAAGGTATTGAAAGCCTGTTATTTCCCCCACTGTTCTTTTTTTAGTGCGAAATTGGGTGGGCGAGCGTCATGGGTGTGGTCTAGTTTACTTATTGGACGTGATTTTTATTACGGGCAACTCACTAGAAATTCATGAGTAGGAAGGTCATTCAGGTCTGGGGTGATCGGTGGCTGCCTTTCATCCAGGTCGAACACTCCACTTCAACTGTGTCGATGCCGGTCAGTCGTAACACAAAGGTAGCTTCTTTAATTAATCAGGAAAGTGGTGAATGGGATATTGAGTTCTTAAGACCAATTATTCCGCCAGAGGAGTATGCAGCTATGTCGGCAATTTACCCAGGTGACCTTGAGCTCCCGAACCGGTTAATATGGCATCTTACTAAGACATGCTCTTATTCAGTCAAATAGGGTTACCATTGGCTATGTTCCGGGGCATTACCACATACTAATTTCAGCTCCTCTTCATCTTCTTCCATTCCGGAACGGTTGTGGAAACTCATTTGGCAACTCAAATAACCTCCTAAGCTTTGGTGCTTTATATGGAAAACAATGCACAATGCCCTACCCACTATACAGTCTCTCTACAAACGTCATTTTGCCTCCTCCTTTCTATGTCCCATTTGCAAATCGCAGGAGGAATCGGTGTAACACCTTTTTCTCCTTTGTCTATGGGTGGCAACTATTTGGTTTGGGGGCATCCTCAATTATAGAGTTAATAGGGCTGAAATCACTACATGGCTGAATTGGTTGATGGGCACTATCACGGCCTTTAAACATTCGAACGCTGATAATGACCTATTTTTCACTTGGGTTGTGTTTTCTTGTTTGTATATATGGAAGGCCAGTTGCTTCCTCTTTCAGCAGCAACCAATCATCCTTCACAAATGATGCTAGCTATCTCAACCAACGTCAAGGCTTTTAGTGCATCTTTGTGCAGTCATTCGGGTACTATAGGGTAGGGTAGTATAAAGCATAGAACTCATGCTCATTAATCGCAAGAAAGATGGCAGATGTCGTGCCATCCCACCGTTAAAATTAATGTTGATGCGAGTTGGGTTGCTACTTCGCATGATGGTTTTGTTGGGTTGGTGGTGAGAGACTTTGTGGGTGCTTTCATTGCTGCTCGAAATATTCCTATTTAGGCCCCTACTGCTATGGCTGCTGAGGTTATCGCCATTTTAAGGGGTTGTAAGTTGGGTCATTCCATGGGTATTCACAGTGTGGTTGTAGAATCTGATTCATTGAGCTTCATCTCGTGTTTAACGGGTACGCTCACAAATGGCAGGTGGGAGGTGTTTCCAATCTAAACACAGTGCAAGAAACTTGGTGCTTCCTTCCATGACTGTCGATGGTCTTGGATTCCAAGATTAGCCAACCTGGCGACTGACCGTTTGGCGTTGCGAAGCTCTGTGGAGATGTGCAACTTTACTTGGGTCAATCGACCCCCATCTTCACTTGTTCATTTACTTCACCATCATGGTCTACCTTACCCACATTAATTTTGTTTGGTCATGCAAGGGGTGACACTTGTTGTTCCCTTTAGTGTCGGGTTTTCTCCCCTTGCACTTCCGACTTTGTTTTTTGGTTGTTTGTCTCGTGTGGGCTTCCGTTGTACTTTTGGCATCTTTGCCTGGTTAATAATATACCCAATTTAACACACCCCCCCCCAAAAAAAACAAAAAATCTTTGCCTGGTTAATAATATACCCAATTTAAAACACACACCCCCCCCCCCAAAAAAAATCATGATATCTATTTGATTTGACTTAATAAGGAATAAATTTTATTGATTGAAAATTAGAAGGAATCCAACTAATTAAAAAAAAAAAAATGAAACATGAGAGTGAGGGAGGCACGTGACCATGCTAGATAATTAAAATAAAAATAAATAAAGAATAAGAGAGAGAGAGCATCTGGTGCAAATAAAACAGAACACCAGCAAGAAGGTAAGCTCTCTACGCTCCTCCCTCACCTCTCATATATTCTTCTTAATTTTCTGTAATTCTTTCAGTAATTATTATTTTTTCTTTCTATTAAATCATCACTAGTGAAATTTCAATTGGGTTTTGAATTCATTGCAAATTGCATCTGCTCAAAATTCAGCTCAGCTTAATTGTAAACATAATCAATGAATTTTGATCTGCTAAAATTCACGTTAGTGCAGAAAAGTTCTTGTCTTCATAAGTTGCATGACTTTTTGTTCAGATTTCAGTCACTCGGGAAGAAGCTTTCTTTAGTACGTGTACTGGACTGACTAACCCACTCTTATTATAGTCAATAGAATAATTAAAAGCTCTAATCTTTCCCCCTTTTTTAATTGAAAAAAGATAAAAAAAATTATCATTTCTCTTGCACTGAGTTCAATTCCCTTTACATTAGAGTAGTTTAGAATATCGCATTGTCGAGGAGAAAAGAACAATTTGATGAATTTTGTGTTATTAAAGATTTGGCCTCATCATTCCATGGATAATCTTCTAATCTAATGAATGATTAAGATGCATCTAAGTCACTCAATTGGTTCAATTTTCATCAAAGTTTTTGGATTTTGGTAAAGCTAGAAAGGCAATGTCCACCTTTTTGGGTGTTTGTTCATCTAAAATTGATTGAATTTGTGGAGCTTGTTAGCAAAAGAGTAGTGATTTCACACCCCCAATTTCTCCTTCTGCACTCCTCTTTATTTTTGTTCGTTGATTCTTCTTTGATATATTCAATTGTATCCGTAAAAAAGTAGGAGGGAGTGCGAAAATCCCTACTTCTGCAAAAACTTAGACTCAGAACTATAGTAGAACATAGGTCTGAGTTTTACTAGTGTCACTTACAAGCTTGGACTACTGATCATGCAAAATATATAGCCGCTATGTGTTATCCGAAGGAGAAGATGGCACAAGAGCTTAGCAATCTTAATTTTTGGAAAACCGCCTTAGAATTAGTATTGTTTTGCTGCTAACTATATTATGCTTTTTAATATCTTCAGTAACAGAAAGAGCAGAACGAGGAAGAGGAATAAACTATGGCTGCAAGCTTCTTGTTTGCGTGCAATTTTAATGTAAACCATGGCTGTATGAATGATAATCCGTTACCCAAACTGTTCTTGGGTGCTGGACACAGAATCCGGGATCAAACTCTTTCAAATGGAAACCAAACCCATCAATGCTTTCTAACAAGGAAGTCCTCTCGTAGGTTTTCCGTTTCTGCTGTCACCAAAGGTTCCGCGAAATCAAGCAAGTCTGATGAGAAAATCCCCTCGTGGGCTAAACCGGATTCAGACGAGCCTCCTCCTTGGGCACAGAATGAAGGCAAGAAAGATGATGCACAAGAGGGATTTGAGGTTCCTTTTTTTGTTTATCTACTTGCCTCAGCGATCACTGCAATTGCTGCAGTAAGCTCCTTCGCCTGGTCCTTTTGAAACTGTATATGTCCCTTTGATGTGGTGTATAACAGGAAAAATAATGTTGCAGATAGGTTCTGTTTTTGAGTATGTGAACAAAAAGCCAGTCTTCGGAATCTTGGGTTCAGACAGCATATTTTATGCTCCAGTCCTTGGATTTTTTGCATTTACTGGCATTCCCACTTCTGTAAGTTGTTCTGTTTCTTTTGATCTTCTTAATTCAGTTTCAAGATTTGATCTATTCATTTACTGATCCTCTATCATGAACCTATCATTCTGTTTAACTATTGTGCTATGCTAAACCATCGAAAAATTCATTTCAAGGGATCAATAATCTGGGGTATGGATGATTGTGTGTGTGGATGATATGAACTCAATCCCCTTGGCTTTGTAACGTGGATGTTGAATGCAGGCATTCCTGTGGTTCAAATCTGTTCAAACTGCTAATAAGGAAGCTGAGGAGCAAGACAAGAGGGATGGATATCTATAGGGTAAGAAACAGCACCTTTAATGCGTTAACCACCATATAGACTTATCTCTACAAAAATATTGGATTCTCTTTCTTAATCCTATGTTATGGTCTTAGTTATTTGATTTTGTTTATAACGGTCCATCTCAGAGCTCCGAAGTAGCTCACAAAGGTAGATGATACCGATGATTCTCCAATAGTTTTCTAATTTTTTCCAGGAAAGTGGCATGATTGATGATTCTATATGCTGATCTTGTCCCCGTTGGTTGTCGTAATATAAACCATTAGATGTATCTGATGGTTACTGTGGCTGTAGTTATTCCAGTCATACAGTACACTTGTGAAATAAACTATGCGGATCACACATCGCTGTTGTAGACGTCTCATTTTACTAAATCAAGTTCTTTGAATAGCTAAAAGTTTAAAATTCAGAATTTAACCTAATGCATCTTTTTTCTTCGGTTTTCAGCATTGAATATCTCGGTGAGCTCCACATGCAATCCACAGAAACCAGCATAAGTGTTTGCAGATGAATTTTTATTTTTTTATGACATAGGAACACAATCTACCAATGAAATATATCATTTGTTGTAGGTTACCTTCAAACAAATGCATCTCATATTCTCATGTATGAGAAAGTATATATGCCTCTGCACATACCCTAGCATGAAAAGATCTATCAAAACTTTTTCTGTGGAAAATTGTTGCTGTTGAACAGAAGAAGTACGATTTGTGAGCGTGTCGGTTGAAACGAGCACTTAAGAGTATGGAATATCCTTAAAGATGCAGCAAAATAACTTACTTGGTACCTTAGGAGAGATGAAAAACGACACAACAGATAAAATGAAAGAAGAGAAGGTGGCAACATAGGTAAGAATCTTTCCTTAGAAAGCAATGAGATGTGACAAAAATCATAGGTTTAAACGTTTGGGTTCCTTGTCATCTTCAACGGAACCACCTAGGTTTTTTTTTGTTCGTTTTCGCTCATCAAATGTGGCAGCCTAGACATTTGATTTATAACACCACGTGTTCCTCCGAGCTTGTGGAAAATTGAGGAAGCCACACTCCCCAAATCCGATTTCTGCAGTAAAACTTTTCCATCTCTTTCCCATGGATACTTCTCGTCATACACTCGAAACCCCAGTTGAGCACAAGCTTCCTGTAACTGATGATGAGAAATACGCGAACACAAGGACCGAGCAAGTGCAGAGAGCTCAGTGGCTCAGAGCTGCTCTCCTGGGAGCAAGCGACGGGTTACTGTCAACCACGTCCTTGATGCTTGGTGTCGGGGCAGCGAAGGAAGATCGTGGGACGATGGTCTTATCCGGCATAGCGGGAGCTGTTGCTGGAGCTTGCAGCATGGCTGTGGGGGAGTTTGTTTCGGTATCAACACAAAGAGATATTGAAAGGACTTCTCTTTTAAGACAGTGCAGTTACAAAACTGAGATGGGTAAGAAAGAGACGAAGGAAAAATCTAACCTAACCATTTCAGTTGAACTGACTCCTTCAACAGGACTCCCATGTGGAAATTCAGCATCCAAGCCGCCGGAGCAGCCGGAGAAAACGAGGAAGATTACTGCCATTGAGATCACACAAATTAGTGAAGGGAAGGAGTCATTGCCAAGTCCACACAAGGCAGCAGCTGCATCAGCCTTGGCATTTCTGTGTGGCTCACTTGTGCCTTTACTCTCAGCCATGTTTATTCCTCAAAATACTATAAGAATGGCGGTGGTTGTGGTAGTGGCTTCAGTAGCTCTGGCTCTCTTTGGCAGCGTGGGAGCTCGTATGGGCGGTTCCCCGGTGATGCCATCTGCTATTAGGGTTTTAGTTGGAGGGTGGATAGCAATGGCAATCACTTATGCCTTGCTCATGCCTTTTGAAAAGGAAAGTCCCAATGAAAAGGACTGAGAGTTTCTGTATCCAGAATTTACCACATAATATATATTTATGCATATATTATTGTGCTAGTTGAGAAGAACTTTCGGCATTTCAGCTGTAGTTAAGTTTCTATTTTGCGAGTCCGGATTTTTATAGAAAATGGAGGTTGAACTTTTTTTTCTTGTTAAATTATGAATGTAACCAAGTTTTAGAATAAATTATAGAACAAATAAATAAATTTCTTAAACAATTCCAAGTGGGTATTGTTTATTATGCGAATAAGCGATGTAACAAGTTTAGTGATGAAATCTTGTAAACATTGAACCTAATTACAAGAAATCATTCTATTTATAAGCCTCACATGTGACCTAATATCCCAGTAAATAGGGTGTTGAGTTTTCACCCAGCTGTTCAGAGTTCAGAATTTCTTCTCCCTAAATTATTGTAATAGTTTCAAATCTTTTCCATCTTCTTAATAATTAAATTTTTTTTTTTTTGGTAAACTGGATATTAATCCAGGGCATAGCCAAAGTACAAGTAGGGATGGCAATTATAACCGTTAAACCCGATAACTGTGGATAACCGCCCAAATGGATTGGATTTGGGTATGAAAATTCAGGTATATTTTGGGTCTGGGGAAAAACCGTGATTATTATTCGGTTATAGTTTGGAAATGGTTATAGGGGTTCCCAACCATATCCATCCCCAAATCCGAACCGAATAATATATATTATCTATAATATTAAAGTATTAAAAAAAAAAATATATATATATATATATTATTCACCAAATCTATTATCTTGAGAATACAAAATTTGCATTTTGTGAGTTGCATTTCGTGGAAAAGTTCCAAAATTTTAATATAAATCAAAATCTATGAGAATTCAATCAAAAGATCAAACCAACATTATCAACGTTTAGCTTTAATTTTTATGCTTCACAAGATCCATTCATTAAATCATTTTATACATCAAATATTTAATGACGAAATTGATATTTGCTAAATTATTATGCGTCAATTGAATGAATATATTTTTTTTATTGACAAAAATGGATATAACCGTTGACCGATGACAAATCCATTACCCTGTGGGTATGATTATGCTTAATACCCGATGGTTAATTTGCGGTTATGGATATAATTAGTTTTTAGGATTATAGGAATGAATATAGTATTTTCGTTTCCAAACCGAACCGTTGCCATCTCTAAGTACAAGGCCAACAAAGTTACCAGAAGGACACAAACTTACAAACTAAACAACCAAAGGTCCGGACCAAAGTACGTTGACAAGCAAAATGGACCAGCCAAACAAACCAAAGCCCAACCAACAGCGTGGGTTATAAGCCTAATTATAGCTTAATATGCATGCATAAACTTGTGAAGCAAGATGTAACAAGTTTGAATTATATGAAAAACTTACTCGAAAAAACTCAATACGACTGTAAACTGCCTTTTTAAGAACATTCGATAAAATTAGAACGATACATATAACATTAGCATGGCCTTGCGCAACTAAATAATGTCAAAGCTGCCGCAGAGATTTGATTATGCGCCAAGGAAAACGATAGCGGATCCGTGCATGTGAAACAAGCCATATTCACTTTCCAAGGACAATGTTTATGCATTTAAGAAATAATCATCAAATCTCGAGGGTATTTCTTGATCAAACCATAAAATAAGAATAATTTTTCTTATGTCAATCTTCTCCATCTCGGGAAAATTATGCATGATTGAATATACAAAACCACGAGCAATCTGTAGACGTGAGTATAATCATATTAGTTCGAGAGAATGTATTCTCTTCTTGCAGTTTATATTAATTGCATGTAATCGTAATAGGACTAAACACAATCATGTAAATAGAATATAATCAGAGATTTATGACTCATTTGGACGTGCTTTTAAAATAATGGAAACTGCTTTTACAAAAAATGTTGTTGGATTCCAAAAACACTTAAAGTGTTTTTTTTTTTTTACATAATTCACTTGTATTTTAACTAAAGATTGGTTTAAGAAACTTTTTCACCATTTTCAACCATTTTAAAAGCACTTCTAAACAAGCTCTTATGACCAATTAAAATGGACAATCTATTATTTGTTGTGTCAAAATGTGAGTTGGACAAGATGAATTATGAATCCACAATAGAATGAGTTATATAACATATTTTTACACTTGAATTACAAGTCATGTCTGACAAAACTTAATTGATCCCTAAAACTTAACCAATTCAATCCTATCCATAAAATCCAATTCCATTCAGCCCACCAAATAGGATCTTAGAGTTAAACGCCAACCCATCACTTCTGACAAGGAAGAGAGATTAGAAAGAGATATATTGAAAGCAAAATCTTGTGAAGATAAGAGATGATGAGATAAGAATAAATAAATAAATAATATGTATTTCTTGAAGAAAACTTGTAGTAGTCAGAGTGAACGTATGGCAAGGTGGTTGCCCTTAAAAGCTGCTTCTAAAATGGAAGCGTTGTCCATGCTCTTGAAAGTTTCAGAATTATAAGCCCAAATTTCTTGAAAAACGTTATACTTTTACAATTTAGCTACAAAAAACAAATAATGCAAGCTTGAATCTGCTATTTGTTTATACTGTAGTCAATGTAGTTACGTCCACATCTCGATCATGGATAAAAATAGAAAAGAAGAAATCAGTTTACCAATGCCGATTCTCCAAAGATTGGATCGACTTGATCGTTTGGTAAAATGTCTCTTCATTTTATTTTTCCCACTGATAGTTTTTTTTTATGAGCTTGCGCATATGCTCATAGATTCACCATCTCCATGGTTTACAGCTGCAGTTATTGGAACACAAGCATTGCCTATCAGCCAAGCATTCTTCTTGTCCTACCTCCTTGGAACCAGAAGATGATCAGCGTAAGACTTTGTCATCTGCAATTGAAGAAGCACATCACAAAGGCACACTGGTTGAGAGAGTAGCTATGCTCGAGAAGCGTGTTTTACAGGTAAGCAGGAATGAATATTTTTTGGTAGAATTTTTTTCATATCTTCTTTTTCGCTATGAATTTAGTAATATCTTTGAAATATTTTTCATCCTCCCCAATTTAGATAAGCCATGAGATGGATGTGGAAAATGCATCAATTTCAAGCTGCGTCACTATTGAAGCATCTGAGGAAATTGGGCAAGGATCTTCAGAAGCATATGTGAGGAAGCCAAATTGTTGCAAAAAGGGCAGAAGAAAGAAAAATGTTGCTTCCATTATTCAGATGAGAGAATGGTTTAGACGGAGGAGAATGGGATGTTGATTAATTAATCATCCTGAAATATTATTTTCCGCATTAATTAATTAATTGTCGATGCCACATGTTAATCCATCAAGATAATAATTGGTTTCGTGTGCAATTATTAAATTTTTAGTTTAAATAAATATAAGAGGATCACTGCCACAAGTTTTCGTTGATAAACAGGATTAAGATAATAATTGATTTCGTGTGCAATTAAATAAATATAGGATAATGGACAACCTATATTATGTATGTATCCAGAGGCCACAATAATCGTGGACGAAAGTGCACCCTACAATTTATCCCCAAACAATAAGAAAAAAATTATAGAAAATATCAAAAATTTATCACTTACAATCACACATCCTAGAATATGAATAGAAAATAGAGGACATTACTAAATGGGGGTGGGATAAAGAGATGGGCTTATATTGAATTTTTTCAACCAATTGGGGGAGAGAGTAGCAGTTCGAAATTGGGACATCTTCTAACATTGAAAAGTGACTAAAAGCGGAGCCAGATGTGCGATAGGAGTTTCTTAGCCCTTTACCTCCTCCCTAACTCCCCCTCTTTTCATCAATTTCCTCTAATCTCTTTACTTCGTGGCTGCTAAATTAAGAGTTTGCCAGTTGCATTACATGTGTTGTACTTTTGTGTGTATATGTAAGCAAATTCTAATAGAGTACCAAATATCAAAGTCATAGGCGAAAGCTAAAACAAACAATCTCAAAAGAAGACTAAAGATTTATGTGATTCGGTGTATAAAACCTATGTGCACGGGCAAAGCATGAAGAAAAATTTCACAAAACAAATTGAGATTACAAAAGATTGTTTAACTCTCACAACGCAAATTCCACAACTTGCAAACTCTAAACCAAACGAGTAGAGGATCCAAAACAAATGGAGAAGTCTCTCTCAAAGCTATGAATTTGCCACACTTATTATAACTTCAAACAGTGACCTCCACTCCAAAAACTAAAAGAGAGATAACTCTCTACATTAATGGTGACGGCACACAAAATAAACTAACCTCTAATGTCCTATTTATAATGCATAGGACTTTGGTTACAATGAGAATCCTAATCCTAATTGGAAGTAAATCCATATCCTAATCAACTCAGTAATAAAAAAATCTCTCCACGAGCAAAGAATTCAACCAAAAAGTCAATACAAACCAAATTAGATACCAAAACGTAACAGGGTCATGAAACCTTAAACTTTTTGCATGTACCAACTGATTGGTTGCCATCATCGAACGTTCATCGTTGCCAGAAACTTCTGATACTGTTTATATATACTTCTCCCGATCAATGTCCAATTGTCCGCCACTTCTAAATTCGTATCTAACACTCTAATTTTGAGTTGTAAACCACAGCAGCATATAATTTTATGTAACAATATATAGAAGGTTTTTAATTTGAAAAGAAGTACCAATAGTAAATAAGTCTGGTTATGATCACCTAAAAGACAAGGCACCAAGACTGGAGGCGGTGATGGGATTTGAACCCACAAATCTCACATGAAACTGAACAAAGAAACACCACTTGTGCTAAGAGAAAACTTTGTTATACTGGTGCACAACAACATATATAACCTATAGGTACTGTATCACGTTAAAAATTTTGGTGGCCCTATGTGTGTGCAACTCTTACACTCCTTCAAGGGCGGCCCTACTCATGATCTAAATTACAGAACCTAAAATGTATTAAATTGTTGTTGAATGAATTTAACCCAATTTTTTTGGTAACTTTGAGTTATGTTATCTTACTTTAATTTTATAAATGTTTTAACATAAAAAGAATTAAATCCCAGCAAAATTTCCAAAATTACTAGTCACTACTCAACAAACCAAGCTTCATTGTACACACCAACCAACCAAACTTCATTACACACACCAAACATGTATTTTATTATTTTGCCCTTGAATTTTTTTTTAGCCGTTGAATTTTTTTTTACTGTTGAATTTGAATAAAACGAATATGAACTGTTAGTTCAATTTCAAAAGATTGCTAAAAAAAAGAGTGTGATATGGACCGTTGATAGCCAACGGTCCAAAAATCGAAGGATTCACATTACCTTTGGACAACTAGGGCCCTTCCATGCGAGGCTCAGTTGTCAGTCACTAACTGTTTGCAGCCACATTTTAAAAAGAAAAAAGTGAGGCTCACTCAAGATTTGAGTTAGCCAAATCTGAACCCAAATTTGAGTATTGATTTGGATTCAAACTCAATTTGTGTAGGTTTTGGGTCTTAGCTTTAGGTGGCATTATTTGGGTTTAAACCCAAATATTTATGTCTGGGTCTAAGTGTTGGAGTTGGTCTTGGACTAAAAGTTAGTTAATGAGATTAGTCGAACTTGTAACATATAGAAAGGCTTTTGATTTGATACAAAGAGCAAACTTATAAAATGTGGACAAATAAACCACCACGGGGTGATCCAGTAATTGGTGATGAATTCCAGACTCGTACTCCACACGGCACATCTTGGGTTCGATTCCTAACGCTGGTGAATCGCATGATGATGGTCAGGGAAAGACTAAAATGTCTTTGTGAGTCTTCCTAACCCTCGGAAGAGTGGACTGCATGACAAAGACACCAGCTGGTCCCTTTAAAAAAAAATTAAAATTAAATATGGACAAATATGGAAAGGGATCCTCTCTGGATCCCTTCCACCTAATTCTCCTCATCAAACAATTTAGGCCTTTGAAATTTGATCTAACGGCTAAAAACAGTGACACATTCTAAAAATTATAATAACATTAACCGTTAGATCAAATTTCATGGGCCCGATCGCCTGGATTGTTTTATAAGGAGGATTAGGTGGAAAGGGATCCAGCGATAAATTTATGTAACTGCTCTTTAATCACTACTGGTTGTTGTTCACGTGTAATTAATGCGTGGTAAACTACATCTTTTACTTGCCTAATTCCATAAGCAAACACACTTTCAGAATGGGAGGTAGATTGTTTGCCCTTCCATTTCCATACTTTCCATGCCCTCTGGTGATGTGTGGTCATGATTAATCCACGTTAACATTTTATATTAATTTTTTATAGAAATAATAAAACAAAAAGTAATAAGAATATAAAATATTGATGTGATTTAACCGTGATCATATAAATAAAAGGATACGGAAAGAATATAGAAACGAGATGGCAGACGGTCCACCTCAATGACATGTGAAAAATGGACGTTCCGTGCGGGGTGAAGCAAAACCATGGTCTTTCGTTGAATAGTAGTCATTACTGCCGTTGGGAATTTGGTACAGTTGTGAAAAGTTGGTCAAGCGTTGGTCGGCTGCATGTTCGTCATGTTTTGGAAAAAGGCTGATTATGTTATTCATATATTTATTTTTACTCATTAATATATATATTTTAGTTTTATATTTTTAGATCGAATAAATTAAAAAAGATTATTAACCAAATGTTAACAAGGATATGTAAAAAATAAACATAAGTGTGTAAATAATATTATCCATTTGCATAAAGTATCTTTGTGGTGTGGTAACGTGTTAGATATGTAGTTGACCACTAACAACAATAAAGTTTGGGTAGTGATATTCACACATTCTTTCTTACTTTTTACACAATCTTCTCACTTTTTGATCGTTGAATTAAATGAATTGAAGAATATCAAATGACATAAATTACCAAGAGATGTATGGATGGTAAAAATAGGTATGAGGATAACACCACCCTAAAGTTTTATCATAATAAATGAGATCTACTGTATGAATTTAAGAACGATATTGCGCTCGACTTTACATCAAATTCCCTGTTTACTTTAAGAACTCTATGTCTTGTAAGTTGTATGTTAGGTCTATAGTTAAGAAAAAAAATTCAATATAATAATTATGTGATTAAACTAATCTAAATAGAATTTTAATTCAAATTCTCTCAAATTTAACCAATCGCACGTATAGGCAAAAATGACAGAATTTGAATGGAAAGTTGGATCTCGGCTAAGATTGGTAATGAATTATAGTTAATGATATTATCAACATTTTTCTTACTATAATACTAACATAGGCATATCACTCACATCCATTTTGAAATTTAATCCAAAGGTGGTGCTATTCACACATTTATTTTAAGTTCTTACAAATTCGTTGTTAACTTTTGCTTTGATTTTCTTTAATTCAAAATTCAACGATTGAAATTAAGAGACATGTGTGGAAAGTAAAAAATTCACATACCCCTAAATTCAATAAAGAAGATAAAGAAAGTAAACCAAAAGTGGAATTATTTTGCTCATCATCCATAAGTGATGGTGATGCTCACTACATCATTGATTATCGTTAGATGATTTTGATTTAATTTATCTACAACAAATCTCAAGATTTAAACTCTTCTAACATTAATTAATAAGGTGCATCACTACCACTTAAATGTGCTCAGCAAAAATGCACTTAAAAAAAAAACCTCACTTTTTATAAAAGTGTTAACTACTCAATTCGTCTACCCGATCGTGTATTACATGATCCAATTTATTCATTTATCATATAATCTTCGAAAGATCATCTTGTAAAAACTTACTAAAATTAAAAATCATTTAGTGTTTTATAATTATGATCAAGTAAATACCAACACAATTTTTTGGATAAAAAATATATAAATGTTTGGAACAATAATCAAATGACTAAACAAAAATAAGTGCTGGTTTCAACGGCGAAATTGCATCATGGTTAAAAATAAAAATAAAATTTACTACTTAGTAATACGATCAAGTAATATTACTCTTTATTGTTAAGTAATGTTAATTAAAAATCTTAAATTCAATTTGTACCAAAAACATATTTAAACCGCAGAACATGGCGTATAAAATTGACACTGTATTATTTAACAGCAGCGGTAAACATGAAACATTGTCGTAGGGTGGAGATGGTTGTACCAAATTTGTTAAATAAAAAATTGGTGGACGAGTCAGTTTTGCTCACTTTCTTGGTCTTTTATATGCCTCACCGATAGAAAGTGATGCAATGATGCGCGCAACACAGAAAGACCCAGAACATTTGAGAGAAGGGAGCTGGGACGGTGACAGCTGACACCGATGCCGCTCAACAGTGACCACATCTTCCCGAACCCGCCCATGTTCCATCTTTATTAACAATTTAATTTGTTGGGTCGGATTAAATTGCTCCCAAAGGACAAGAAGAAGAAGTTGCAGAAGCAGAAATGGTGGAGATGAAGGAGGAGGAATCTCAGAAAATGGCGGTTTTCAAGGCAGAGAAATATTCGGGTCAAATGTTTTGCACATGGTTCTGGCTCTGGGTATTTGGCTGGGTACAATCCATTTCAACGCGGCTCTGGTTCTCTTCACAATCTTCTTCCTTCCATTCTCCAAGGCTCTTCTGTAAGTGTTCATCTTTCTCAGGCTTTTTTTCCTCCCCTAATTTGGTTTTTTGAAGTTTTTAATTTTGTCATTAATTTATTGATTTATTTGGTGAAAATTTTGAAATTTTCAGTGTACTTGGGTTGCTTGTATTGTTTATGATCATCCCAGTTGATGATAAGAGCAAACTAGGAAGATCACTTTCCAGGTAAAAGTTGCACCCTTTTCGGGCTCTTTGGGAATTGGATTGCTGGTTTTTGAGAGACGTCATTTGCGCAATTTATTAATTTCAAATTTGATCATATTTAGTGACGTTGATGGTTTTAGGGTGTAGAGCTTAGGCTTTTTATTTACAGTATCGGATTAGTTAAAGACAAGACGTCCTGCACAAAGCGGAACTGACAAGTATAAAAGTAATTTATGTTGGTTTGGATTGGATTTTCAGGTACATATGTAAGCATGCCTGTGCTTATTTTCCCGTGACTCTGTACGCAGAGGACATCAATGCCTTTGATCCTAATCGCTCTTATGGTATCTCCTCTTTTATGGAAGTAGAACCGGTTACAAACTTTTAATCAAAAATAAAACCGAAGTACACTAAATGGACATAAACCACGGTTTAGTGTCCCTCTAGTTCTATTTTTTAGTAAAAGTTTGTGAATGGTCAAACTTTTGCATGTTTCCCAATGTATTTATATCACGTTAGAAGCTGTGATGAATTAATAATAGGAGTGGCATTTTGGCTATCTTTGGTTGATGCAGTCTTTGGTTATGAACCACATTCGGTTTTGCCAATTGGTGTTGTTGCACTTGCTGACCTTACTGGGTTCTTGCCTCTCCCCAAAATTAAGGTCCTTGCGAGTAGCGCGGTAAGACATCTTCGCTTAGTTGGCACCACTCTTTCTTCAATTCATGTCTCAACCTTTTTCCCTACAGTTTCTTATCTATGTTCTATACTTTTGCTGATTCTGTGTTGGGGATTATGTTTAGGTGTTCTACACACCATTCCTGAGACATGTATGGACATGGCTGGGTCTTACACCAGCCACAAGGAGTAATTTTATCTCCCACTTATCTGCTGGTTATAGTTGCATCATTGTGCCTGGTGGAGTGCAGGAGACATTTTATATGGAGCATGGCAGTGAGGTTTACATCTATAAAATCTTTCTTGTGCTTTTGCTCTACTTTTTCATCTAGTCATCTGTTGCTATATGCACTCATCTGACAATCAGCTGGTGTCTGATTTCTCAATTGTAATTCCGTTTCTAATTGCTAATCCGTTCTTACTTTGTAGATAGCATTCCTCAAGTCGAGAAGAGGATTTGTTCGCATAGCCATGGAGCTGGGTAATCCCCTGGTTCCAGTTTTCTGCTTTGGTCAGGTATTGCCATTTTTGGCATTTTCAATCTAGTTTTTCCACCTATTAAGTCATCTACTACCCAGTCACGTGGTATCTGTTTTGTGTCTGTGTGCTGGCTTTTCTGGTCCAAATATGTATTGATGTCAACAGGTTTTCTAGCTATTAAGATTAGTTTGTTGCAATTTCTATGTGAAACCACATCCATTTATTGGGATTGCTGATTATACTTTTCTCATCTCTAATGCATTTGCTTCATCTAACGATGGAATGATATTCCCATTTCTTTTCTTATGATCCATCCATGTTGCAGTCAAATGTTTACAAGTGGTGGAAACCAAGTGGGGAATTGATTTTGAAGTTTGCTAGAGCTATCAAGTTCACCCCAGTTTTCTTCTGGGGATTATTTGGGTATGCATTTTGAGTTTAAGATACTATATCGTCATCGTCTTAATAGTAATTAGACTTCTATCTTTGCAATTAGCTTTGGAAAGTATGTCTGTTAAATCTCATAAGGAAAAACTATTCCGGTGAAATTAGATTGAGAAGTTATATTACTATTGAAGGATTTGTTTCTTTTTCTAACCAAACAAGGAATTAGTTATGTATATTTGTACATTTGTGATGTTTGAATGTTAGCAACGCTATGGTTTTTGGCAACTGTTAATTGTTCATATCATGCTTCTTGAATGCAGAAGTCCTGTACCCTACAGTCATCCAATGCACGTGGTGGTCGGAAAACCAATTGATGTCAAGAAGACTCCACAACCCAGCATGGAAGAGGTATGGATTCCACCAAAACTGAGCATAACGTATGTGTTTGGTTCTCTCTGAAGATTCAATCATGGGAAAACTGTGCTTGGACAGTTCCAACTTACTTTTTAGCACTCTTTCTGTTGCCCCGAACTTCATCTTCCACATGCATCATGCTTGATTTAATGCATCTAATCTTGCCTTAAAAAACAAGACGTCTCTCAAAACCAAAGTTGTAATGTTCAATGCCTATTCCGTACCACATCCATCTCCATCTTCAGTTTCTTTTGCAATTGAAACTCCATTCGTGTGAAATATCGTATCTTCTACAGAGCCATAGCATATATTACTTGTTGACTTGAGGAACTCCTCCCATGTCAAGAGCTATTAATGTATTCAAAAGCCTATTGGATATAGATTTAGTTCCATCCCATAAGCGAAATCCATGAACTGAAGTTTATCGGGGTGATGGGAGTCACTGGCTGCTGCAGCTCCACGAAGTTATATATACTGAAGTTTGAAAATTTCGTGGCCTACTAGACCGGTGATGGCTAAAATGTCGGAGTTCATGCTTCTGTTTTCTTTTTACAGGTGAATGAAGTGCACGGTCAGTTTGTTGCAGCACTGCAGGATCTTTTCGAACGGCACAAGGCACGGGTTGGACACGCTGATCTCCAATTGAAAATTCTTTGAACAGTTCGTACGTACTCTAACTATGTACACCTATACATGCAGCTCCCTCTTCTCTGGGTTTTTTTTTTTTTTTTTGAAAATCTTAGTGAAACACTTCTGGAACTATTTACTTTTAAGTTAAGGACATTTTTACCTTGAAAAGTCATTCCTGGTACTATTCATTTACACCTTTATTTTTTCCTTTTGATTAAAACTAAAGTTTTTGAAGATTTTTCGTTAGTTTTTCTTCTTTTTCTTCTATTCATTTTCTGGGAAATTTACCGATAACACATTGTATCAACTATAAAGTCAGATTGTAAAATCGCTCTTGATGTCTTAGCTAGTAGTCAAAACCTTCATCTGGAGCAACATATTTATGTTTGTATTAATTCATACTTTATTAATCAATTTAGTAGTTTATAATTTATATAGGGTCGAAGCCCGTAGTGAAGACACTTATTCCATTTTTCAATTAATTGTTTGTCACACTTGTCCCTACTTGATGTGACATTGATCCTAATTGCTTACGCACAAAAATTATTGTGTGGTAGTAAAATACGTAAAATGGTATCACCAGTGCATGGTTTTAACCATAATTTGTTCACATATAATATCCAGGTGCGCCGCGTATTATATGCCGGAGACTGGCCGGGGACACACAGGGGGAGCAGAGAGAACATTGAACACTACTCTTTCATTCTCAACTTAATGTTTTCAACTTTAACAGAGAGCTCTAACTTTTGCTCCTCAATATCTTTCAAAACCGATAGCAAGTTAGCTCTATACGATTCACATTTCCGTCGTGCGCGCTCGAGTTGACGCTCTAGTTTCTGCATTTTCTTGTCCTGGTGATCCTGCAATATCGAATTGAATCGCAAAATTAACCATCAACTCAAAGAATCGAAAAACGAAAACGTAACAGATGTAGCTCTAATGTTATCATATAGGTAAGAGGTTTCAAGTGGTTACAGAAGGAAACTGACCGCAGATAGAGTTTCAAAACCCCGTTTATGATCACCGAAGGTATTGTTTGATTGATTTCCCAAACGAAACCCATTTTCTCTTCCAGCTGTATTAGTTGCGGCCGCTCTCCCGCCGTTCTGCATTTCAGTGGCAACTTTATTTGCAGCCACTTGAAGGGCATCCATTGCCACATTATAAATTTCAGCAGTTGTAATCCCTTCGTCAACATATCTAAGTGCCTCATGCCGCAGATTATTGTACCGTACTGTTAGAGATTCTTGTGGCTTATTCAACAAATCGCCGGCATGTTCCTCCAATATGACACCACTCTTGGCATTCCTCGTCCAACGCTTCAGAATGAAATGAGATGGCAGAGTGAGAACATTTGTCACCCTAAAAACTGTCAAGATGTGTGCGCAAAGAAGGCCAGAAAACTCAAACATCTGGCAACTACAAAATGCTTTCATCTCATGAACGTTAAATCTAACCGTATAAGCTTTATGACTTTCCCCAAATTTAGCAACTTGAAAAATGGATCCTGCCTCCTCGTCCTCAACCTTCGTTGCCAAAAATGTTAACGTCTCAACCAACTCCTCTTGAAATTTCGTAAACAATTTCCTCGTGTAAAGCCCAGCTGCCTGTTTCTCCATGGGCGAAGGGGTCTTAAGAACCGGAGCAGTGTTTATGGTATCATAATCTGCCCTCACCTCTTTCTCATACCGACTTTCAACAGCTTTCTCATACTGCTTAACAAACAGCTGTAGAGTTGTTGATGCATTGACATATCCATCAAAATAAGAGTTCATGCTATCACTGCACTGTGTTACCGACATTTCCGCAAAGAAGGTGCCCCTCAGGTACACAGGGACCCACTGCTGCCGATCAGCATACATCGATTGAAGCCATTTATGCTCCCCGAGATCATATTTACGAGTTAGGGACAGCCAACAAGACTCGAACTCTTCAATTGATTCACTCAGGTTGACACATTTATGAAGCTCTGCTTCAAAGTTGGAATGCTCACAAAGCACAGAGGACAACTTCTCTTGGCATTCTTTAAATATGTGCCACTTGCAGAAGCGGTGTCGAGTCTCGGGGAAAACCTGGGTAATGGCCATGGTAATCACCCGATCATGATCAGTCGTAATTGACAGTGGAGGCTGGCCAGACATTGCCATGAGCCATGTTTTGAAAAGCCACAGAAACGATGCCTCAGATTCATTTATCAGGAGGGCGCATCCAAAAAATACAGGCTGTCCATGATGGTTAACCCCTGTGAAAGGTGCAAAAGGCAACCGATAGCGGTTTGACCTGTAAGTTGTGTCAAAGGTAACAGTGTCACCAAAGTAAGTATAGTCATTCCTTGCCTTACGATCAACCCAGAAGAAATTGCCCATGCACTGATCTTCATCTCCCTGCACAGCAAAGAAGAATGCTGGGTCCTTAGCTTGCCTGTCCTTCAAGTAATCCAAGAGCAGCTGAGTGTCGCCTCCAAGGGTCCTTTGCTTACAACTCCTCATGTAATTCCTGCAGTCACGCTCCGTGAAGCCAACATTCCTAATACCACCATATTCTTTGATGAGGGCAGACATAATTCCTCTGGGGCCGATCCCAGCACCCTGCAAGGTATCAATCAAAGACTTTGCAGAACCCGATACATGACGATGAGAGCGAAGGGAGTGCACCTTATCAGGTGGAACGAGCTCATGATTATGCTCCTTAACAAAAGCAGACACAACCCATCTCCCAGAGTCGTGAACCTTTATTACCAACATGGCCTTACAACCAACTCGGGTCTCTGCTCGGGGGCGCTTGGCCCGCCCTTCGCAGTCAGACCCAGACTTCCCATTCTTGTTGACACGAAATCCCTCCTTGGCGCAAACAAAAGACCGCTGAATGATGGCGCCATCGCGCCTGGAGCGACGAGACATGCTGACACGAGTACTGAAGCCAATGCGGCGAGCATAGGAATTGTAAAAGGCCTTGGCAGCCTCCTCGGATTCGAATTCCATCCCCTCACAGGGTTCAAGGCTACTGTCTCCTTCCGGGATGTAATGCTCCAAAACAGCAACGCTACTGACAACATCGGAACCAGTAGGAGTGGGAATAGCAGTGGCAGGAGAATCATGAAGGAGGTCATCATGGTCAACAGGTTGGTCAATATAACCCAGACCCATCATGTCGAATTCAAGAACATCATCATTGCCCAAGCTCAACGGTTCAAACTCCATTTTTTCACATGGAACTATGAATTTATTTTTCTTTCTCTATTGCTTAAATTAAAACCAAAATGCTATAAATCACCAATTCAATCATAAATTACAACGAACAAAATTGGGCCAATGGGAAAATAAAAAAAAAATGCATAATTTTGATGGAAATTTTGGATTTTAGAGGGAAAGCTAGAACCTTGGAGGCGATCCATTTGAGCAGGAAGAAGGAGAAATTGCAAATGGGTACAAAAATCTTCACTCTGGAGATGTTTTGGCAGCGCCCGGGAGTGCGCAGGAGCGAGACGGGGCGTGAATTGAACGTTCAGAGCAGTGACGAACAGAGAGAGAGAGAGAGAGAGAGGGAGGAGGGGAGGGGGAGTGGTGGAGTGTGGCGGGGGTTTAGGGCAGATGATTTGGTACTCGACGAAACCTGGAGGAGCATCAGGGATCACAACGTTTCGTGCCGTTGGATCCTTCCCTAAAACCCTTTTCACACTCGGCAAGAAAGATGTGCGATGAGTCAGTATTATATTATATTTTATTCTATGTTTACTGATATTTTAAAATATATATACATTTTGATCGATTTTTTTTTAATTTTTTTAATTTTTATGTTTTGATTGTAGGACAAGCAAATCTTCTTTTATAAAAGTGATAAAATGATGAAACTCGACAGTAATTTCAAATGGCGTAGATTCGCAAGTCATACTTGTTGGTTATGTCAAAATCTCAACCCTAAATTACTAGTCATTTAATCATGACAATTAAATAAAGATAAATACGGAATTTGATATATTGACGTTTTAAATTTATTTGGGTTATAAGTAATTGAAGATGATGTTTTTTAAGAAACTTTCCTTCTATAAAGTTGAAGAAGACGTCCTAAGCTTTTCAACGCTAACTTAATGTTTGATTCGTGACATGTTTTTAAATGACTAAAACGTGTTTTAAGAAAAATAATTTTAGATTACAAAAGCACTTGGACTTTGTAAAAACACTTCTAAGTATTCCAAGTGTTCTTATAGAATTCACTTGAATTGTTATTCAGTACTATAGTTTGGTATTTCTCTTCACTTTGAAGTAAGAGGTTTTAGATTCGAATATCATGATGGTGAATGCGATACCAGATTAAGCTGTCCATTGTGTAATTTTGTTGCACTTTGTCTTTACTTAGTGTAAAAATATCGATGCATTAAAAAAATTAACTTGAATTTTTTATAAAATATTTATATCAGAAATATTTTCACTGAGAACAAATCGTGAAAATATAATTTTAGTAAAAAGAAAATTAATTAATTGCAATATGTGAGAATTGGGGAATAACGAAAAGCACGACGTCGTTCGCGTCATAATTTGAAGCGCTTAGCGTGTCAATTTCACCTGCGAGAAGAAATTAAAAGCAACGAATTTCTGGACCGATTTATCAGAAATAAATAGAAAGAAAATCGGCTGAATAAATAATTGAAAAATAAAAGAATTAGGGTTCTTCGTTCTGATAGTACGAATTTGAAGCTCCTTCTTCTTCAATTCCAACCCAGGTACGCAGCTCGTATAATCCCCTGTTATTTCTTTCCCCAATTTCTTCATATTTTTCTAGTTTACGGGAAAAAAGATATGATTTTGTACGATGCCGCCTAAAATTTCAATTTTTTTGATACAATCGTTTGCGGCAGAAGCGCAGAGTCGTAAATTTTACTTTTGACTGATTAGTTTACCGCTATACGATTTTCTGTTCTTGCTTCTTGCCCTAATTTTTTTATTTATATTTTTTAGTTTTTCTGTTTCATTTTTTGTTGGATGAGTAGAAATTTTACTGCTTTTGTACTTAGAAATGAGTGATACCGAAGAGAAGGAGGAAACTGGACAAGAATTGCCAGTTGATGCTTCAAATAATGGGAAACCAGAAAATGATCATAACAAGCAGAATAATTCTCCGAATTCTGGAGATTCTGGACCGGTCCAGGAAACCCCGAATCCTGCTGAAAATGGCGAAGTTCTACCCAATAAGACAGACGTGGAGATGACCGCTGATGATAACACTAATGTAGAAGTAGAACCACTGTCCATTTCGCAGCAATCCGATAGGGATTTGCCTCCTCCATCAGTCACAATAAATGGTGGGGACGAACAATTAGTCAAGCTAGATATCGAACCTTTAAAGGAGGAGGGCGAACAATTAGTCAAGCCAGATACCGAATCTCTAAAGGATGATGGCGATCAGTTAGTCAAGCAAGATACTGAACCCGTAGCTGATGCCAAGAGTGTTGAAGCCCAGGATTTGCCTCAAAGTAATAGTCATGGCTGTGAGGATGGCAACGTGGTTTCCACAAGTCTTGCAGAGACTGCTAAACCCACTGTTGGTGTTAAAAATGAAGTTTCTCAAGTGCCGGAGCAGGAATCTGGTGATCCCGTGGAAGAAAGTGGAACTGTGAGTCATAAGGAACCTGTTACACCTCATGCCGGATCTTCTGATATAAAGGCTGATTCTGGGAGTGGGGAAGAATTGAAGAATAAGGTGGATGAAAAAGATATTACTACACCCAAAAGTAATGGAACCCCAAGCTCAAAGGGCATGTTTCTTTTAGATGACATTGACAGTGACATGTATGAAGGTAATGGTTCTGGAACAGAAGAGGAGCAATCAGTTTTCATGAAGGAGGTGGAAAATTTCTTTAAGGAGAGGAACATGGAATTTAAACCTCCTAAGTTTTATGGAGAGGGTTTGAATTGCCTTAAGTAAGTCTATTCTCATCATTTTTACTGGTTCTGTATTGTTTACTAATTATATGAATGTTAATTATTTTGGCTAATGCATTTCAACTTTTTATTGGGATAAGGCTTTGGAGAGGTGTGACAAGATTGGGTGGCTATGATAAGGTGTGGAGTCTGCATTTTTATTCATATAGTTTAGACACTTATATATAATATGAGTTTTCATTTCCAGAATTATAGTGTTTTCTTGTTGGAAGCTCATATATAATCTGTCTGCTTATTGTAGGTGACCTCAAATAAGTTGTGGCGGCAAGTGGGAGAAGCGTTTAGACCTCCAAAGTAAGGAACAACTTCTGCTCAACTCCATTATTATTTACGTAGTGCAAGCTCCATTACTTGGAGATGTGGAAATTTTAGAAGTGCTGTAGTTTGTGGACATGAACGAAGAAAATCCACCCTCCTTAATTCTCTAATAGATATAATCTATGAACACTGAAATTGGGGGACTTCTTTCATTGGCAATACGTTGTTGGTCATTTGGTTCTCCTTTGTTATTTGTAAGGGTCAACTTTGAGATGTTTATATCTGCCATATTGTTGTGCAAAAAGTCCTTGCTAAAAAGAACATAAAACGTACATATATGAAGCATGATAAAAACTTGAAGTAAAGTTAATGTGTTTCTAGGTGTGAAATTTCTTTAGTTCCTATTTAACCCCATAATGATTTGCTGTCTTAGAAAGTGGGAAAGGGGTGGTGTGAGGAGTGGATTAAAAAGGTCCAATAATGTTTACTATGCATTATAAGATAGTTAAGTTATTTTTCTATTTCTGCTGCAGGACATGCACTACAGTTTCATGGACATTTCGAGGTTTCTATGAGAAGGTATGTGTGCACACACGTGATTGCAAGCTGCATCTTTCTTATGGATTCTCCATAGGTTATTAGTTGCTATGTGTTTGTAATTTCCCACCTGTTCAAATTTGATACTGGATCAAGAATTATGGGATCGGGCAACCATAATTGTAGACTCAATTGCCTGCTATGATTGAGCAAATCTGGGTCTGTCCATCTTCTTGGTGGTTGACCATGTGGATATGTGCTTGAGTGGCCTGTGCTGGAAATTAATTATAAAAGCTTCTATTCGAGTCACTTGTGGTCGCCTCAGTATTTTTATAAGTCCATTGTTAAATATCTTCCTTGGTGTATAACATAATGTTTATATGTTATTCATTATTGGTTGTTCTTGTGTGACTTCAGGCACTCCTAGATTATGAAAGGCATAAATTTGGTACTGAACCACCAATCTCTTCCCTGCCAGAGCCTATGAATATTGATAACCAGGTAAGTTGTGATCTTATGACCCGGGATCTTTTGGTAATGTTTTGTGTATTACTGTATTAGATGATTTTGTGGTGTTTATTTTTATCCCTCTTCGGTGGCATGGTGTTTATGCCATTTTGTTCATCTCATGGTAAAATGTTTCACTGAATGAAAATGGTATCCATGTACTGCCGAGAACGTATACATTCATTGTTATTCGCATGAAAAATTTCGACACAATGAACCATGGCATGTCAACCTTGAAAATTGGTGCAGTTGGTTGCTCAACAAGGAGTTTCTTCAACAAGCCCAACACTTAATGCATGCTTGTGGTAATTAGTCTGCAGGGTCAGGTCGAGCAAGAAGGGATGCTGCGGCACGTGCCATGCAGGGATGGCACTCACAACGTATCACTGGGAGTGGTGAAGTCAGTGACCCTATCATAAAGGTCTGGAAAGTATAAAGATTTTTGCTCTCATTTTTTTTTTTCTTTTTTTTTCATTCTCTCCATGTAGAAGTTGGTTCTGATATAGTACTACCATCTCTTCTGTTTCTTTAGGATAAAAATGCTATTTCTTTGCAAAGGCGTGAAAAACAGCTTAAAAGCATTGGTATGGCCTCTCAGTGTAACTGGTGTCCTTTGTAATAATATAATTGGTATATATGGTGTCCTTTGTAATAATATAGCTGGTATATAACTTCTCACCTCAGATTTTGTATGTTGACTTCAGGTTCACTTAAAAGAAAGAAGCCACCTTTTGTGGAGCATGTGGTAAAAGCTGCACGTACTAAAGAATCTAAGTTACAGTTGAGATAATGTTCTATTTTTATTTCATTTGTCTATATCTAATATATCAGGAAATTTTTCAGTGACAGTACACAGTCGACATGTTATCATAGTGTTAACTTGGCTTTGTTTTGTCCGTTTGGGTAGATTGGATGTAGATGTGGTCGATCTTGGACCTCCAGCGGATTGGGTGAAGATCAATGTGCAGAGAACTGTAAGTTTATCCAATACATGTTTGAACACAAGGAAATTTGCATTTGTGGAATTTTCGAGCACCATCCAGTATAATGAGATGAGTCATTTTTGCAGAAGGATTGTTTTGAGGTCTATGCTTTAGTTCCAGGGCTTCTCCGTGAGGAGGTAAGTTTACATGTTCCTGAATCCGTCGCTCTCCTTCCTTTTGCTTTGCTACCGTACGATTCTTTGCATTCTTATAGAGATCATTTGTATATTCTTTTAGAAGACATGCATGCAATCGTTTCTTTTGTTGTGTTCTTATTAAGGTGGGAATGGCAGTAAATCATAAGCCACGTTATAAAAACAGGAAGTAGCATAGTTGAAAGATGTTCAGACAAATTTAGGCCCCTTTGGGAGGATCACAAAACCATAGCCAATTTGTGCTGCACTCAACTAACTGCTTTGAGCTGGGGAAAAAGGGAAAAGAAAAAAAAAAATGCTGTTTAAAAATGAACCAACTTTCATCAATCTCCCTTTTTTATTAAATGTGAGAACGGAGGAACCCGGCAAGTAGCCTGCTGATAACTTCGCTAGGCTGTTTCTTTGAGAGCTGTCGCTAAATTATGCCTTGGTAGAGTACGTACATGTTTGCATATCAAGGCATCCGTTGTCAGTTTTTCGATTTTGTACTCATGAAAGGGGAAAAAAAGCTTTAGAATCTAAAATTGAGTTGAGAAGTCCTGCTTGATATTTGTTTGATGTGTAAAATATTAGGTTTATGTTTCGGTAATTACATTGCTTATCCAATTCTTTTGGAAATCAATCTCAGGTGCGTGTTCAATCAGATCCAGCTGGGCGACTGGTTATAAGTGGAGAACCTGAGCATCCTGATAATCCATGGGGTGTCACAGCTTTCAAAAAGGTGTGTTTCTTTTTCTCCGTGGCTACTGTCTAATGTCAAACAAGCAACGGTCATAAAGATCGGACTTCATATCTTTCACTTTACCTTTCTTGACATGTTACAGGCTTAAACATTTTTAAACAGCAAAGGTGATTGATATGGTATTTGGCTTCGTGAACAGGTTGTCACCTTACCATCAAGAATTGATCCACACCAGACATCAGCTGTGGTCACCCTGCACGGGCAGTTGTTTGTTCGTGTTCCGTTCGAGCAGTCGGATCAGTAGCATTTCGTGATGCCTGTCCATTCTTGACCATCAGGCTCTTCTGTAGAAATTAGACAGACTCTAGCAACCGTAATCAGGCCAAGTTAGCTAGTTTAGTTGGTTATAATCCAGTAGGTCAGTACAGGATATAACCTAACCGTTGTACTTATTTACCAACATGTTCAGTTACATGGCTAGGAATCCTCTTCTTCATTCATTTTCTTGAAGATGTAACATTATTTCGGGAAGATACGCTATTTCGAATTTGTGCTCTTCAGATCAATCATATCTAAGTTGTTAAAGATGAAAGATGAAGATAAATAACAGATCAATGAATGTCACAGCCAACAAATAATAATGATTACCATAAGACTGCCCCATTTGAAGATAATTGTACATTTTGAATGGGCATTTCGCAGGGCAAAAGAAAATGCATTCCGTAAATTTGAGTAACACAGCAAAATCATGAACGGGTTGTAAAACTGGCGATGACATCATACGAAAGACGGAAACAGGTGACCGAGGACCGAGGACCTTCACGGGCTAGTCGCCATTGATGCCAAGTCCAACTCTTCATCGGAATCAATCACTTCTTCGAAATTGTAAAAGGGGTTTGCCTGCAATGGAAGCTCCAAGTAAGAACGAAAATATTTTAAACATGAACATTCGACTCCAACACGAAACTAAAAACTACCTTTGGTCTTGGAGTGATTGCTTCAAAGCTATGAAATACAGGATTATCGAAGTTCGGGGGTTCTAGAACAATATAAGCCCCTTTATTTCTGTACCTCTCTTCTGTCCCCTGAGTGACAGAGGAAAAAAAAAAAGTGATATTAATTGATATGAAAACATTAGCGTGTTGGTACGAGTCAGGTTCTAATGTCCAGTGACAACGAAAGCACAATATAATAAACTCGAAGACTCAATCAAGAGTTAAGAAAGGATAACAGCATACCTCAATGGAGATGGAACAGTTAAACGAATAATCAATAGCCATACATTTCAACATGCAAAAGCACCAGTTTCACGTGCTGCGTGACATACACAAAAGCACCATTTTGAATGACATGTTTAACAGCACCCAATCTACTTTAAAAGGGGATGGATATAAGAAGGAAACATGTAAAACCCCATCAAAACAATCATACATGCATCAAGTAAACTTTGCAGCGCAATTTGGCAAAGGAAAACCGTATACTGCCAACAGCCAATCAATGAACAGTTATGCCAAGAATTCACTAAAAACCGAGTTAATGAATACCAATCTCAAAGGATGCTACACAAACCTGGAATTGTGGGTAGTCTGGAGCACTAAACAAAGTAATCAGCTTCCCGGACTCCACAATGTGATCTATGGTGTAACCGTTATCCATCCCACCAAGACCTGGTCGCTTTTCCCGCGCATCTGGACCTTCATGCGATCTGATAATCAACTGTCGTTTTAACAAATATAGAATAACCCAAATCTTAGTATTGCATCTCGACTATGATTGCAAGTCATGCAAATACAACACAAGTAAACGTAAAAAGAGAGTAGAAAGAAATCATCACATGCTTATTGTGGGAGAGAAACATAAAGTGCAACAGCCTCTGAGCAGTTTAGAAACATTACAGCTGCTAGTCATTTTTAAAGAGAATTAAAAACTAGGTATTTTCTTTCTTAACTAGTAAAATTCTAACGAAAGACATAGTCGAACCCTACCAACCATCTACCTATTGAGCCAAGGCCAAGGTGGTTAAAAATTATCAAAGCCAACAACAAACCCATAAGCACCTCCATACTCATACACAAGCCTTAAATGTCATCACGTAACTAGGACATACAAAAATACTCGGTGGTAATAACCTATTTGTCATCAACCCTATATTAGGGTTGCAAATTGATCATCCGGCTGATATTATTTCGACTAACCAGCTTAACATGGCTAGTAAATGCTAAGTTAACGCGTTGTCGACCCTTTGCCACCATATTTGAAAACAAAATGTTACCCTAAATTCAAATTCTCAAAAGGAAAAATAGTTATTGGCTAATTACTATCCAGCCATCACCGCACTTGGAACGCAGCAGTACCAAAATTAAATTAAAAGTTTTGTTCCAAAAAAAGAAACGTGATTTGTCTCGATTTGTCTCTAGATTACAATTGAAGCATGCAATGCTTTGCAGTCGTATTACGTTATCAATTGAATGCATCACTTAGCAACGAAGAAGAAGCAATTCACCATAAAGCAAACAAGAAAAAACATACTCTTAAAAATCAAAGTATCAACATTATATCCTAAAACGAATATTTTTCCATAAGTACTGTGTAAGTAAAGCCTAAGACTAGAAATGTAGATTCCAAATCTTGCTATTACCTTGAGTTGAAACTTCTTGAGAAAATCCTCAGTGCAGTCAGGACCCCAAAGCAGACCAATGCCTCTCTCTTTATTCGGAGAAAGACCAGGCTTCATGGAGGGATCCGACCACAGCACATCACCAGGAATCAAGTTCGAACCTTCCCACGGAGGATCAAGAACCGATCTTCGAGCCTTATTTAATTCTTCAAAGGATCCAAGAGACAATGTACTACTGGGATCAGGATTGAAAGCTATCCTCCTATTCTTCTTCCCTTTCGATCTCTTGGGGGTCGCCGGTGTGCTGCGAAACAGCCCGCCATGAGCAGTATATACATATTTACCAACCATGGAGGTTAAGGGAAGGCCTTCAAAGCACCCAAGACATTTTCGGTACACATGCTTCCCTTTATCTCCATACTTTGTCAGTACTTCCTTCTCGAATCCGTAAACCGAAGTGCAGTATTTCGATTCGTGATTTCCTCTTAAAAGATAAACACTTTTGGGCAAAAACACCTTCCAAGCTAATAAAATTAAGAAGCTTTCTAGACCCCAAGCCCCTCTGTCAACGTAATCGCCATTGAAGACAAAAAATCGGTTTTCTGATGGAAACCCAGCATCATTTAAGAGAAAAAGGAGGTCGTGCAGCTGACCGTGAAGGTCTCCGACGACCACCACGGTAGATTCGGGGCCTAACTGATCGACAGCGACGCAATTGGCCTCTTTGTGGAGGATCTTGGATGCGCAGAGGACCAAGCTATCGAAAACCTCTACGGGAAACACGTCGGGCAACTGGGTCGGGTCCAGATTTCTGGATGCCCAATCAAAAACGGACATGAGGTTTCGGACCCATTCGAGACTGAGCTTTCCGTCGGCCGGCCAACCAACTGGGGTTTCCGGATTAGGCCCCAGCGGTGATGGGTTGTTTTCGGATTCGGAGTTGGCGACAGCGGAAAACGCCGAATCGGAGACCGGCGGCGGTGCTGCTGCTAATACTTCTGCAACTTCTTGAGATGCAGATGGAGCAGGAGCCGCTGCTGCAATCTCTGCATCTGAATTGCTTGACATCTTTGACCAAACCCTAAAAAAATACGAATTACATGTGCATGTTTATGAATTTATATACATGAATTCGTCTGGGAATTTTTCAGAATACATAGTGTACTTCTAATTGTTGCTTCAGTTTATACACATAATTAATTTTGATTAATATGTCAATTTTTTTAATTTAAATCATTGTTTGGGAAGTGCAACAGTCACTTCTCCTTCAATTTTTCACGAATCCGGATACTCTTATTTTAGAGATTCGTGAATTGTATCCGTTCATCGTATATCGTGTGATTATAAATTTTTTAAATTTTTTTATTTAAAATTAAAAATAAATAATATTTAATAAAAGTTGATCGCACGATGCATAATAAACAAACATAATTAATACATTTTCAGGATCCTAACCAAAAGAATCCGAAAATATCCGTTGAATTATTCACAGCTAATTTGTCGTAAAAGAATTAATTGCCGCGTCAGTGCTCGCCCTAGTTGAAGCAAAAGTGAAACGTCCAAACTTTGCTGAGTTGGTATTTCGTATTGCACATCCAATTATGCATCATTTGCGTCTCTATGATCACGTCGGCAATACTATAATATTATGTATATTTATATTTTTATATAATATTGTATTACTAGTTTAGAATGGGATTATGTTTGAGTTGACGTGCAAATCTCACTCATGATTTAAAGTACAATAATATTTTGTGTGTCTTTTTTTTTTTTAGGATAAGATGTTTTGTTCAAAATAACATAAGATCATACAAAAAATAACTGCAAAACAACTTAGTCCAAAGCCCGTGCTTGAAAATCAAGAAGCAAAAGTATCATTCATTTTCTATGTATTTTGAAAATGTTTGTACATGACTTAAAGTTATAAATGCTACATAATTGGTCCTTTAGACTTTAGTACATCAAATTAATTATAATATTCCTATTCGTCCAAATTATTAAGTTAAAAGTTAGTTCTTATACATAAGGTGAGGTTACATGAACGTTATATAAATGTTACGTATGTCAACTTTCATTTCTCCGTCCATTGGTACTTCTATAAGGTTAAGATTTTCTTTCCTAAAAAACAAGTTACTTATTGTGACAAGACTTTGTTCTTGGTCAACCGTAAGACATTTGTTAACCACTTAGCCTAGTGTACTTCTATGTACGTAAGTAAATTGGGAGCATCTGAGTACTACGTTAAACAAATAAAGACAACAAGTCAACTTAGCGATGATGGAAGGATTCCAAAAATTTAAGGGAGTTTTAACGAAAATTTCACGGTACTGTTCACTTTAACGAAAAACCATATTTTTACACTAAAAACTCAATCTTGGTACTATTCACTTTACTTTTTATTTTGTCCTTATCGTCAAAATTCAAAGTTTTCAAGTATTTTTTATTAGTTTTCTTAAAATTTAATTGGACATCAACTTTTGAAACATAGGCCCAAGACAGGCCCTAAGCCTGGTCAGATTCATTGGACTCAAACGATTCTTGAAACCCAGGGAAAAATATGTAACCCTGTATAACTTATAAGGCCCAAACTTGGACTAATGAGCAAGGGACCCTTATAGGCCAATTTTTGTTTTTTCTCTACATTTTTTTCACTACAACGTTATATCCACACTAAAAGTGGGAGCTTTGAGCTAAATTACACAGAGGTCAACCATAATAATTTAGTTCAAATTCGTCATTGAAGAAAATCGAACATAAAACCTCTTACTAGTAAAAAAGAGTATCACCTAGACCATACTTTTAAATATCACATTCCTCTTCGATGCCAGCGCCGTGCGCTTTTTTCCTTTTTTTAAGTTTAAATAATTCGTAGGTTTAAAAAAAAAAATTTGGTTGAATGAAACTAACCGTTGATAGATACTTGAATCTTTAATTATTTTTAACTACACTCCCTGAAACTCCATTTTGA